TGTCAGTTGCTATTGCCACAATCTAAACATTTTGCAGTCCGTCAAGCTCTCATTGCATTCGTATTGCTATAGTCATTCTGCTACAGGTAAACATCTGAAACAATTTCTTTTAAAAAATGAAGAAATAAAATAGCTTCACTATTTTCCAGAACTAATGCTTCATCCCTTTTTTTCCTTCCTTCACTGAGTGTATGAGTTGGCATGTAAATTATATTGGCCCGTTGCAGAGAGGAGAGCAGGAATACTCTGCAAAGGCTTAATGATTTGGGTTAAAGAAATTTACTAACACATGCAAATTAAGATATGGAATTTTGCCTGATAATAAATGTGTTTGTAGATCACCTGCCATGTTTAAACTGACTGAATAAGCAATCCTTGGAATAAAATGACTGACTTGGCTCCTTAATTTTGCAGATATTTTCTCAAGTAAATTACTTCTCTAGCTCAAACTGTGAAACTGGCAAACAACATTAATGCAAGTCTGACACTCCTTATGCAAATCTGGAAAGTTCCTGTTCCCTCCAAATATCTGGGTGCTTGTGCCTACCTAAGACAATGAAAACATATCATTTTCCAGCCAGATCACACACATATCTATCCTGCTGTTGATCCATCTGCACTCTATATTGTAAGCCAATTGCTCCTCTCACTGAAGGTCTTTGGCATAGATTTCATTACTATGGATGGAAACTATAAAAAGCACGTACCAGAATTAGCTTTAAAATTAATATAAATACTATATCAGAAAATTACATTTTGAACCTGCTTTTTATAATGTTTTTTTTTGTGAAATGACAATGAGTAAATAGCAGGTAACTTAGAATCTGTTAAAATTAGTCCATTAACGCTATCTGGTTGATCTCTGTCATCTTGTAAAAGTTGTATTGAATACCTTGGGGGAAAATATTTAGTTGGTTCAAGTCATTGAAACTCAAAATTTGCCCTATGGTACTCAGCACCAAGAATGCTTGTAGTGTAACAGTAGGGGATGCTGTTGGTGAGGAAGGGGGGTTGTAGTAATAAATATTTTCATATTTTCTCTTTGAGCCTCTTTCATACTCTGATTATATTAAGAACAATACGTCAAAAATATTTTCAGACACAATCTATGTGGAAACTGCCAGCTCGTTTTGAAATAGCAAAAGAATCTGTGTGCTCTGGTTCTAAACATACCAGACAAGGTAACTTACCACCTTGTTCTTCAAGAGCCTTTCAAAACCTGCGTGAGCAAGTAGGCAACTGGCATTCTAGAGTTTGCCACCTGATTAGCTATGCAGCTAGCAAGCCTGGGATTTCAAAGGGGTCTAGACTCCATGGCTACAGAGCAGGAGGCAGAAAGACTCCGAAAGTTATCTATAAGCATGGATGCCTTTGATCTGATACTCCTATGTGGCATTTAGGAATTTGCAGTATAGTAAGTTATTAATAAAGCTGTAATGATAATTTTTGGAGTTTCTAGATGTGCTTCCAAAAAAAAAAAAAAAATCCTTTCCTTTACCTCCCAGCTCTTTCCAGAATTTTACATGGAAAGGATATTCTAATTTCTAATGGTCTCTGTCCTTAGCTAGTTATGGATTATTAACAATTATTAACTTAATTCTTTGAATGAGGTGCAAGCAGGTAATAGCATGTTACTACTCATTTAGGCTTTGATTCGAAAAGCTCTTGCTCACATTTGTTTAGTTGATGTTTGGTTGGATATTAGAGCTCCTATCTTATGGCTGTAGGTGCTCTGACATCTGATCAATAATGGAATTAAACCTTTAACAGTAAAGATACGCATCTTGTATTCATAAATAAACTGAAGGCGGAGAAGCCTGTCTTGACTTCTCACTAACCCTTTTTATAGCTCCATATAAATGTGGAACAGAAGGGGTGACAGAATGGTTCCCTGCAGCACCCCACACATCAAAACTTATCAGGAACAGAAGAAGTGATCACAAGTAGCAATCAGGGTCTCGGAGAAAATAGAGCAGGTGTCAATGCGATTCCCATGAGTCTTTTCAGTAGCCTCTCTCAATGCAAAGTATTGCTGAGCTGAGGTATTATCAGGAAATATAGGGAAAAAATATACCACCTTTGTGGTATTATCAGGAAATATAGGGAGTTATCAAGAAATAACACAGCAATATACATTACGTGTTTAGTGAAACAGTAGCAGTGTAACAGCAGCCGTAGTCGACTTGACAAACCCATTCTTGTGCATTAGCGTAGTCATTCATTTCCTACTGTGTTAGCTCTGCCAGATGAAGCCAACTGTAGAAGAATGCCATGAAGACTGATCCTGTACCTCCCTCTGCAGAAGTTAAGCACGCTACTGTGATTAAACTTAGTGTTCATTTACATCAGCACGTAAGATCAGGTGTGAGCTTGGTAGAAAACCTGCCTGATTTAGGCGACTGAACAGCAGTCTCTAGTTTTGCAAACTCACACGATCCAGTAGCGCTTTGTGTCTGCACAATAATTATGGGCATTGCTTCTGTCGTAGTGTTGGCTATCTAAGAGCTGAGTACCTTGGGCATCCTTTTTTCAGTGAAGAGTGTCTGATACTTCCGGTGGAACATTGATTTCACCTGCATCAGGAGTCTATATTAGAGCCACTTACAAACCTATTCACAAAGAAAAATTTTCAGGAGGGAATGAAGTAGGAACAGAAATACAGAGCCCTTTGCTCCCCCCTCCTTGCTCCCTCCCCCACTTTCTTGAAGTAAGGGTCTTAAAGACTGCTTGAAACAATGCTGAGTAAAATGCTTTCAGGTATATGGCTGTTTACTTCCTCCCATTTGTTTGGATCCTACTGCCAGTATCATTAAGTACTTGAATGCTACTTTAGCTTCTTAGAAGCAGAGAATTCAAAATAATTTCAGTATTAAATGCAAGGCCTACTGTTTTATCTTGTCTTATTTGCATATATACTTCTCAGGTATGCAAGACTAATTTGTTCTTCAGGAAAATGAAATTAATGTGGAAATGGTTATTTGTATGTAATCCCTCACTAAGTGTCAGCAATGCAGACTAAGCTGTTCATATAGGAAAAACTCTTAAGAGGACAAAGCTGTAGTGCTAAAATTGAGTGTTGTCTGTTAAAACTTGAGTAAGAGTTAAGCACGCTTTATGTAAATATATCGAAGCCACCTGCTAGAAATCATTTTGGCTCCGCAGTGTTCCAAGAGTTCTGTACTTGTTGGGTCTGAAAATAAATATCGTGTTGCATTTCATAGCTTGCATGCAGTACCATCAGTGATTCAGTTCCAAGCTAAAAGAAGGTTTGAAGATGGTGTCTCCTCTAGCAGCCTGAAAACACTGTAGGAATTTGAGGCTTTAAGAATATTCTGTAGCTGTTACGGAAATCAAAAACTTCAGTCGAAGACAATTTATCAAAAAATGAATGAAGTAGAATTTGCTTTATTTTTTAAAAGATCTTTTAGAAATTCTCAGAGGTAATTTGCTGATAGCTGCAACGTAAAAAGAACATAATAAACTTTATTGAGTGCCACATATCTATTTCCATAGTTCTCAAGAAGTTTGGCGTACATCTTTTTGTCACAAAGCTGACTGAATAATTTGTCACTCTCTGGCTGCAGTAGAGTTCAGATAGTTTCTGAAAAACAGTAAATTTTTCAATCAGTGGAGAATCTGACCTCATTAGGAATACAAGAGAATACAGTGATACACATGTTACTTCAGAGGTACAGTTGATTCAAGGTTCCTGTTGAGTTGAGCTGGAATTCTGTTTTGGTATTTTGTTTACTTGTGTTAATGGGAGACTCAAGACACTGATTATAAAAAGGGTCCCTCATGCATGCCTTCCAACTCTCTCCAACTTAGTTGGGCAGTTATATAGTTAATTTACTTTTTTAAGCTGTATTATATTAAAAATTCTGATGAGAGTTATTTTTTTTAGCTCTCAGTATTTTGACCTCTGGTGTCTGTGCCCACTCAGTAAATTATAGTGGGCAGCATATGTACAATACAGCTGAGACTTGCCAGTGTGCAGAATGCCAGAGGAAACCTTTTCTGCATTTTTCTTTTTATCTTTAAAAGAGCCTGAATAGAAGAGATATTAAAGCTGCTGATCCTGAGGTAAAGCTGTGATATAAACTGGCAGTAGATGGAAAACATTGTCTAGATTTTCCTGTGACATGGCATCAGTGGGTTAAAGTTGCCTGTTAATGTAGGGTGTCATGCTTTTTCTACAGTTGTAGTTTGATTTTGTGGGGTTTTACTATTTCATTGTTTTCAAGTACTGTAGAGAGTTGAGATTTCTAAATAAAGAGATTCAACCTTTGCGTGCGATTTACATTATTTTGGTGCAAATTATTACCTTTAAAAAGCACATTATTGTACCATGACTTGATTTCCTACCTATTCATTGACTCCACTGGGAGTTTTGAAATGAATTCCTGTGTCTGTATGCTGACTCTGTGCACAGCATTACAGTGAGCAACATCAAGAGTGTCAATGCTGTCTGTAGAGACACATTAAATCACTAGATGAGAACAGCCACATGTCCTGCTTATAAACCATTGAAAAATACCTGGAAAGTTTAGTTGCTTAAAAAATATTCTGACAGATCTACTCTTTATATCTTTCAGTTTGCACAAAGGAGTGAATAAAGCTTATAAGCAGCCTTAAAAAATATTTCCCCATTCCTGTATGGGAGCAATTTTTACTCTATAGTTTCAAGACCAAAAGTCAATCACTATTTTTTTTTTTAATCCCAGAGCAAATGTTTACAACAGAGATACTAAACATTTGAAAATAGAGTAGCTTATAATGGAAACGACAGCTCATCTTTAACTTTGAAAGGACAAGCACTACCAATTTAATTAAAGCTGTGTTAAAATAGGACTGTCGTTTGTATCACAGTGATTCTCCACCCCTCCAAGAAGTCCTGCTGCCATTTTGTACCACACATTCTTGTCTTGTGCAAATTAATAGATCATTTTATTTTCCACAGGAAATCTGAAGACTTTTATAGCAAATTCTCCAGTGTCAGAATGAACACAGGTATGCTGCTTCTGTGAGATTTTTCTTTACTCTTACGTGTTGTTTAGTAAGCAGAGAAGGTCTCAAAATTGGTTTAGATTTTCATGAACAAATTATGCATCAGTTGGTGCTGAACTCAAATTAAGCAAGATATTTTAATAGTGTGTCTGCTTATGTGCATTTGTATTCCATATATAAAATCTATGTTTTTCTATGTATGGATATATATGGATATGTGAAATATACATGCATGTTTAGCTTTCTGTGCTTAAGTTGTAAGTATCAAGTTTGTATGTATGTTTTATGTAAAAACATGTAGTATGAGTACAAAACAGCTTTGGAAAAGTGGTTTTAAAGCACCACATTTTTCCTAAGAAAATGCACATGCTTTAAAAATGCTTTGTTTTCATTCTCTGCTGTCATTAAATTAAGGGGCATATAAATACTACCCTGTATTATGAACTACACTTGCCTTATCAGGTAAGGATAACTATTTTGTACTTAGACAGATTTGTATTTTCTGTCAAGTTGCTGTGATAGATGTATGGACAAAACGAAGTATTCTTTAGGAAGTTATCGTCGTGATCTGTGACAACATACTCCTATTTGCTCCTATATCATTGAAGTCGATAGATAGTGCTGCTGATTTTGCTGGAAGTGCGAATAAGCTTCTCAAAAGTAAACTGGCCTTGCTCATGTCAGGTGTAAATCTTCGTTACAGTCAACTCTTTATACTCCGTAGGTGAACTGTATGGTTTGCAGATTAGCTGTGGTGCAAGGATAGACATGCTCATCCTTTCCAAGCTGGTTAGTTTTATCATTGACTGTAGTGCTGTACCAGGACAACTCATATGACAATGAAATAAGCAAAATTGTTATGTGGGACCTGTGGAGCTGAACTACCTTTTAAGCCAGTTTGAGTGTTTCAGCAGCATGCTCTAAGGCGAAGGGATTAAATTTTCTATGGTATAGGCTGCCGTTATCTTGACCACTGTATTAATCAGGCTTCCTGGCTTGCCTTTGTCTCAGACAGTGACTGGAACTAAGTAGGACCAGACTCTTGGACAGATTTTTTTAACACAAAGTTAAAATATATTGGCTGACTTGAAACCAGTATGTTTGTAAATAAAAAAAAAGTAGGAGAAATTAAATTTCTCTCTTGAGTTTGTGTTTTTTCTTTTCCCAAAGTTTTGGTTTTTCATAATTATTTTACGGGTGGTGTTTTTCATTTATGCAAGTACTATTGAAATTTGTCCTGCCCTCTTGGACTTTTAGTGAAGACATCTTTCCTAAACATGTCAGTCTGTATAATTAAGGTAGCACTGAAATAGAGCTTGCTTCATAGAACTGTAATTTCAGAAGTAACTCATCTAATCATCATACGTTTGACTGTGATTACATTGTGCATTGCAATCATATGAGTTGAAATCATGATAGGTGTAATTTTATAGCTTCTGCTTTGAAAAATGTGGATAGTGTCAGAGCAGTAAATTGCCAGTTTGTGCTACTGCAGCTATGAAGTATGACTTTGTTCTATGTTGTACAAAGATTTTTGATGTAAGCTAGAAATTCTCAAGAGAAATAGATATAAGATTTAAGTAATCTATGTCGCTGAATGGCTTCTGTTTGGAACTGGGGGTCTTCTGATCACACAGGAGCTTTGAAAACTGGCTTAAAAGACCTCAACACACCTGAAATCCTTTCCAGTTACCTAAGGATATCATGATTGTGAGCTGAACTTTAATCTGCTCTGCACTTACGCAGTGAAAACATTTTTCGTCTTGTGTATGCTTGATACTAATGTGCATGTTGCCAGGTGCACTAAAAGGGGAGATATTGGCAAAAAATGCAGTATTTCCTGTCAGTTCTGTTGATGTAGATTGTTTCATGACTGTAAAATAAATAAATAAAATCCAGTGAGTAGAGTGTAAAAGTGAAAGTCTTGCACCTGTCTGTTGATAAAGCATCACTCTACTAAGGAGTAGAGTGACTGAGGTGGAAGGTGTTCTGCATAGTGTTCTGGTCTAGTTGTTTCTTTTTTCTTCTCCCCTCCCCCCCATATTGTCTTTGAAGATAAAATGAATGCTGCAATTCTTTTAATTATTTTTATATATTTCACTGCTTTATAAAAGGAATTTGTGCATGGTGCAGTTGGAGGTTATCAGATGCTATTGATTTACCACTAGTTTGTTTTAAAAATATGCATTTCATTAATTATTCCTACAGAAAAATGAGGACTCTAGTTTGATTCCAGGAACTGCTGAAGTGGCAAAGCTAGCATATATGCAGCTTTAAAAAGAAAAAGCAAATCTACTGCTTAGAGTGGGTTCCTCTAATCCAGTGTTCCCTGTGGCTGCACACTTGGCAGTCTGTCTCAGCACACCCTGTGGAAGATATTTTTGTCTACAGAGAAAATATTTTGAAGAGCTTTGGTTTTCAATACTCTACCATATATGGGAGGGATTTTTTAGCATTTGATGCTAATTCTGTACCACATGTTAGGAAGGAATATTCAACAGCATAAGGCAATGAAATATGTTTACAAAAGCAAAGAAATAAACGTAAGATATAGGGGAGGTTTTCAGAAGGACCAAAGGTGCTTTGGCTCATAGTTCCTTTTGTGTTCAAATGCTGTCACAATTCAAAAATAGTGGTCTAATAGATTGTGTGCATTTTTAAACTCAGACTAAGCAATCAATAGAATAGTATTTTAAACTATATAGAGAGGTTTTCATCAACATGTCTTCAAGTACTTTACAGATTTTATGAGCATCATTAAGTTGGTGGGACATTTTGAGAAACTAAGTCACAGAAAACCTGGGCTGCTCGTAGAGCTCACATCAGATTAAAACACATCATAAATGTATTTACTGTTCATGCTATATATATGCATGCATAGCTGATGTTGAGGGAGAAGTAATTTCATTAAGAAGTGATGAATGGGCACAAGCTAATATACTAAAACAGATTCTTAGTGTCCGTCTGTAAATATTTTGGCTGAGTTTCACACAGATAATTCTTGGTAAATGCATCTAATTTTAAAATTATGAAGCAAGTTAGCTGATTGCAGTAGATGAAGCATATAAAGAGCAGCCAAGAGTGGAAAAATATGCAGTTCTGGAATACTGCAAATATTTTGTGTTTGTTAAAATTATTAATGGAAGTCATGACCTGGTCTAGTCTCTTATATTTTGTGTGGGAGACAAGAATATAAATTCTTTGGTCCCTGCAGAGTTCCTGAATAGACTGTGAAGCCACTTTTAGATCACTAAAGCAAATTAGGTGGGCTTGAGTGTTTCAGGCATTCTACAAAAACTTTACTTTTTTAATCATTGTTTATTGTAACTTAGCAGCATTGAAGAACCAAATAATAGTAGGTTCACCTATGTAGTCGATGTGAGATTGTGTGATAAAAGGTCGT